GTTCCCTTCAGGTATTGGAAGGCAGCTATTAGGTCCCCCCGAAGGCTGAACAATCTTTTCAAGGCTGAACAATCCCAGCTCCCGCAACCTGTCCTCATAGCAGAGGTGCTCCAGCCCCTGGATTATCTTTGTGGCCCTCCTCTGAACACACTCCAACAAATATATGTCTCTCTTATGGTGGGGACACCAGAACTGGACACAGTATTTGAGGTGGTGTCTCACAAGAGCAGAGTAGAGGGGCAGAATCACCTCTCTTGACCTGCTGACCACGCTTCTCTTGATACATCCCAGGATGTGGTTGGCCTTCTGGGCCGCATGACCGCACTGCTGGCTCATGTTGAGCTTCTCATCTATAAACACCCCCAAATCCTTCTCTTCAGGGCTGCTCTCATCCCACTCTGTGCTCAGTTTGTATTTGTGCCTAGGATTGGCCCGACCCAGCTGAAGGACCTTTCATTTTGACTTGTTGAAGCTCATGCAGTTTGCACTGGCCCAATTCTCAAGCCTATCAAGGTCCCTCTGGATGGCATCTCTTCCCTCAAGCGAGTCCACGGCACCACGCAACTTGGTGTCATCGGCAAACTTACCGGGGGTGAACTCAATGCCGTCATCCATGTCGCTGACAAAGATGTTGAACAGCACTGGACCCAGAACAGACCCCTGAGGGACACCGCTTGACAATGGTCTCCATGTAGACATTGTGCCATTGACCACAACTCTTTGAGTGCAACCATCCATCCAGTTCTTTATCCACCGAGTGGTCCATCGGTCAAATCCATGTCTCACCATTTTAGAGACAAGGATGTCATGTGGGACTAATGATTAGTTCGTGTTTGTAGCTTTACAGTCGTTGATATGATTGTAAAGACCTATTGGTTGCTGGGCTAAGCAATCTGTAAACACTTTCTCGTAAGATTAGAGTTAGTCTTCACCTTTTTTAGTATTGGTTCATGTTTCTTGTGACAGATATGATTACAATCAGATCCAGCCTACCAAAAGGAAACTTTTTGCATTTTTATGCTGTACCATCAATGCTATCCTATTTTCACAACAAATGTCTCCAGTCATTACATATTTTATTACGTAATGTCATAAAGGAAAATTTCTCCAAAGCTTCTTGGACATTTGTAGTTCTCTCTGGGTTTCTGCATCTTCAGATTGCGCAAGGAGCTAGCTAACCTTTTCACATGGCTAGCACATAATCTTTAACTATCTTTTTTATATCTACTCTTAATGTGCTTCTTGCCTTGTTTGTTTATATATAATAACTAAATAAACTTCAATTTCTCTTTTAATAGTCTTAGCAATATAAATGTTCCCAAGAACAAGCTCACAAAATGGGAATAATTTGGAAGAGAATGGTAAAATATTTTCCTAAGTGTCCAACAGTTGTCTTTGGCCATTTTAATCTTGTATTCCTTCTATGTTATCTGTATTAATATTATCTATCTTGATACTGTCTTTTGGATCACTTGGTCTTTAGCTCAGTAGATTGGAAAATAACGGGTTGTTCTTTAATGCAGAACCTCTGTTCAAAGTAACTTTCACATCTTAAATCTTAATTTGAAGAAATACCTGTTCTCCCTCACAATCAAGTCCTTAAGTACCTCAGTCTAACCACATTATCTAGGTAGTCCTTTTAGTTTGCCCTTTTGAAATTAAATTTTATCTGAAAACTTAATTGTATTTTCTTCATTTAATTTAAACCAAATCGGTTTATCATCTCTCACTTGAAAATTTGCCCTTACTACAACATTCAGAGTACTTGATAAGAACTAAGGCCATAGCAGCTTTATCTTTCATTCAGTTCACTTTTTGAAGAATAACGCTGTCATATGAAATAATAAATGTCTTTTTAATTTTTATTATATTTGCGTTCTGTTGTTAAGTTTTAAACTCATTTTCTTGTAGACCTTCTTTTGTTGCTAGAGTGTTATTTAAACTAGTATTCAGCCTTGGTGGAATTTAGTGAAAGGAATAAGCAGTGCTTGTTTGGACAGAATTATGTGTAGGCAAATCCAGAAAAAGTTATTGAATGCAAAGACCTTAGAAGTGTTCTGGGAAGAGTGTGATTTATGAAGCAAATAGAAATTCACTAAGGATTTTGTCCAGGTCTGAGCATCAGTTAAAAGTTGGTAGTTTTGAGGTAGGAGAATGGGAAAAAAGTGGTTTCTTTAGCAATCTTTTGATATATATACTCAAAGTACATAGATTTATAATCTAATCTGGAAAGTGATCTTTACAGTTCACCTTCTTATTCACGTTTACTGTAGTTTCATCTTCCGAAGAGACATCAACAGAATTCTTTCCTCCAAGTTCTGTTTTTACCCGATGTATTATGATATTTTTGAGACCGGCATTAATTGGCCTTTTTAGGAAGACAGACTATATTTCTTAAATACTCTATGCTACTGTTGCCTCCCTCCCCTGCTGCATCCCCTCCCCACACAAAATTGCTGGTAGTCATGGTGGTCCTTTCTTCTCTCTGCTCTTGGTTACTGTTTTCTTAGGCTAGACTGGAGGGTAAGTAATTCAAAACCATCACTAGCTTTAGAAAGGAACAGAATGGGAGTAAAAAGTATTTTTTCTCCCAGGGCGTGGAATTTAAGTAATGCTGCATAAATAGGGAGGAGGAGATGAGAATATATATGGAGACTTCTAGGTGGGAATTAAATGCAGCTTGAGCTTTTAGCACGTTGCTATATGGCCCATTTGAGGAAATAACAGTAAACTACCCACCATCCGTGATTTAAATGATGTTACTCTGCAGCAGTCTGATACTTGCTTCTGTTAATTTACTTTGCGATTACTGCTTTGTTTTTCTGAGCCACCTAGGACACCAGGTAGCATCACAGGGTAATGTAAAATAGTAACAGAATCTATAGGAATCAGAAATCTGACTTTATGTGGTGGTGTTATGGAATCACTGGTACTGATTTTTCCTAGTGTAAGCCCCGTCATACGTGGTCCTGGATTACAGTGTGTACCTAGTACAGCTTTCATTGTGGACTAAATGTTGGGAAATTCTGCTTAAATTATTTGGTTCATACTGAGCTCTAGTAGCAAAAGACAAGGTAAATTATCTTGCTTGAACAATGTTACATCATGAAGATGTAACAGCACAGGACCATACTGTGATCCTAATGTGAGCATACCAAAGAGCCTCCCTGTGGAACATCTCTTACAGTAACAGTGTCATGGTTTAGGCCGATCTGGCGACTCAACTCCACACAGCCGCTCTCTCACTCCTTCCCCAGTGAAGTGGAGAGGAGAAAAATGTAATAAAAGGACTGAGGGTCAAGACAAGAACAGAGAAGGAGCACCCACCAACCATGGTCCCGGGCAGTACAGACTCGGTTTGGGAATAAAGCAAAACAATTTATTAACAGTTACTTGAAAGGATAGAGAGAAACAAAACCAGTTACTTGAGAGGATAAAAAGAAATAAAGCCAGATCTTAAAGCCCTTTCCTTTTTTTCTGGGCTCTACCTTCTCCCCGGCGCAGGGGGACAGGGAATGGGGGAGTGCAGGTCAGTTCATCCCATGTTGTTCCTGCCGCTCCCTTCTTAAAGGAGGAGGAGTCCTTACACCCTTTTTCCCTTGCTCCAGTGGATCCCCTACTCACAAGGAAAAACCCACAGACTTCTCCAGAGTGAGTCCTACCCACAGGATGCAATCCTTTCCCATCGGATTGCTCCAGTGCGGGCTTTACCACAGTCTCGGATTCTTAGGGAGCTGCTGCCACTCGCTCCGACGTGGACTGTCACATGGACTTTAGGTGCATCTCTACCTTGTTGTGCATCCCATTCTCCATGACTGTCCTCACGCTCAGGCTTCTCTTCTCCAACGTGGCTTCTCCCCGGGCCGGGTGTGGGTCTCGATTCTGTCTTGGCTAGAGGGGGGCCGCTGCTGCCTCGCCACCGGTTGCAGGGGAAACTCAGCTCCGGCACACCTTGTCCCGTTCCATCTTCCCTGACCTGGTGTCTGTGTGGCCGTTTCTCTCAGATCGCAGTCCTCTCTGGGTGAACTCAGCCCAGCGGGCACCCCAGGAGCGGGGCACTCCCCAAGTTCCACAGGCGGCTCTGCCGTGACCATCTTCAGCAGGTGGTGCAGGCCCCGTGCGGGCAGCCGCCTGGCCGGGAGCCAGGGAGCGGGGGCAGCGCCCTGCGCCCTCCTCTCTTCACTGCCGGGCAAAGCACCTTTTCTGGTTCCTTCGTCCCGACTTAAATAGGGCAATTCGCAGAGGTGCTGATTGGCTCAACCCCGAGGGGGGATGAGAGTCCGATCTGGTGGCCAGATCCGGGTCTGACCCGGTTCCAAAACCAGGGAAGTCACAGGGAGCAAATCCCCTCTCCTGCCACCAGAACCCCTTTACATGAAACCATCACAAACAGTCGAGCAATTTAGTACTGAAAGTAGATGATGTTTATGAAATGGATGACAGGTGGCGATACGCTTAGTGTATTTATTTTTCGTGGCGATACGCGTAGTGTATTTATTTTTCGTGGTAAGCTTTCTGCTTAAAAATAATTTTTCTAAAATTAATTTTGTCTAAACTACTTGGTTTTCAAAAATTTCATCATCTTTTTCTGGTAGATATTCCTCTGCTACCTTCTATCACATCTCTGAGTCTTGGTGAAAATGAAGAAAAAAGTGGACCTTTTGTTGTGCACTGGCTAAACAATAAAGAACTTCATTTTACCTTATCCATGGAAGTATTTTTGCAACAACTTAAAAAGAGTTTTGAACATAATTCTCCTGAAACTGTCACTGAGGAATCTAATCAAATGGATGGCAGATCAGAAGAAGGTAAAAGTCTTATCATAGTACATTACTTACAAAGTAATTTGTAACATTCTTTCACGTGAAGAGGAGGGCACATTGACATGTAAGTATATAGACAGATTACAGTAACACTTCTATGCATTTCCTTTCCTTATGCTCTGGAAGTACCTAAGTGACTTTTAAAAATCTGTTTCTAGAAATTCTGAATTTGTTTATGGTTGTTCCAGAGATTTTGAGTTATTTATGCTGAAAACTGTATTACTTACTCAGGCTGACCTGGAGGCCTCTGTGTGAAAGTGTGTTCAATTTTAGCACATTTAAGGAAGTAGGTCCAACCTTAGAATTTATTTTTTTTTATTATTGATGTACACCTAAATGAAATAGCTTTCTTCTATGACATAATATGGACAATTAATTTAAATATATTATGTTTGGAAAAGACTGCTTCTGTTCTGGTTATGCATGCAAAAATTTCTATAAATGGGGAAAAATAAAAGCATTTCAATTTAAGGTGCAGTATAAAGTATTTTGGCTTTTTAGTCATTGACCGAGGTCCAGTAGAGGATTTTTGGTTAAATTTTTCATTATTTTAAATTTGTGCTTGTATGAGCGGTTTGTAAAAGGCTCAAAAGGTGCTCCAGTGCCTGAATAACACTGCTTACTAAACTTCTACTTTTGAATATAATATATATATGTCTATGTGTGTTCCAGAAGCTGATGAAAATGGAGATGAACAAAAAGGAAACCAAGAAAAGAAGGAACTGGGTGATGAGAAAACCGCTCTGAATTCGAGCCTTGTTCCTTTATCTTCTGCTATTATTGATCATGAAATTGAAGTACTACTTTCTGAATGGAGTAAAAATGCCGACATGCTATTCAGTATACATCCTATGGATGGTTCACTGCTGGTATGGCATGTGGACTGGCTAGATGAATACCAGCCTGGCATGTTTCGCCAGGTGCAGGTACTTTATTTTTTTCTGGATTATGCATTGTTACTCAGTGATAAATATGAGAAAAATAACTTGAATACTTAATTCTTCTCCCTTTCTTAAAATTCCAGGTGTCATTTGTCTCAAGAATTCCTGTTGCATTTCCGACGGGTGATGCAAACTCTCTTTGCAGAAGTATAGTGATGTATGCTTGTACCAAAAATGTTGACTTAGCTATTCAACAAGGCAAACATAAGCCTCCTGGCCTTACACGATCTTCATCTATGCTTATCTCTTCTGGACACAGTAAATCAACCAACAGTTTAAAACTAAGTATCTTCACGCCCAATGTTATGATGATTTCCAAACACGCAGATGGATCATTGAACCAGTGGCTAGTGAGTTTTGCGGAGGAATCTGCTTTTTCAACTGTGCTCAGTATTTCACATAAATCCCGATACTGTGGTCACCGTTTTCATCTTAATGACTTGGCTTGCCACTCAGTATTACCACTGCTGCTTACAACCTCACATCACAATGCTCTAATTTCACCGGATGTTGAGAATGCAAAACAGGCAAATGATTCTTTAAAGTCCCAGGAGTCACCAGTAAGACATCAGAGTAGAGCCAATGCAGATGTATCATCCCAGGATCCCAATGCGGTTTACAGTGAACTTATTCTTTGGAGAGTTGACCCTGTTGGGCCTTTGTCCTTTTCTGGTGGAGTTTCTGAACTTGCTCGGATCAATTCTCTCCATGTTTCAGCTTTTTCTAATGTTGCATGGCTACCCACACTTATACCCAGCTATTGCCTTGGTGAGTTTAGTTTCCTGATCTGTGAAGTGTTCTAGAATAAAAGAAATATTATCTAATGGTGTTATTAAATAGGTAATGTAGATGTACTTTAATGCATTGAAAAAAATGTTAAACATGGGTCCTTTGTTTTACAAATTTCTAAGCGGCTGATACTTGAAAATTCTTTATTCCTGTGTGAAGAATTGCTGTGTTCTTCTGCCTTGTTTTATATATTTGATATTTTAGGAACTGATGCAATAAAGTTCTTAGATGCTAGTGGATACTTCAGAGCATGTTGAACACTTAAAGGCAGAGGCAGATTTTGCTCTGGTTTGCAAATGGGATTCTTATTTCCTTTACTATACTTAGATTTGGATGCTGAGCGCAACATTAAACTTTGTAGTTCTTGCTTGCGAACATAAATAAATAAGGGAGAATTTTTCTTATGCAATATTGTTTTCTTTCATAACTTCAAAATCGCCTCTTAACAAAAAAAGAGAGCAAGTTGATGTTTGAATATTTGAGCACTTTGTACATTCTTATTTTTCAGGTGCATACTGCAATTCTCCAAGTGCCTGCTTTGTGGCTAGTGATGGACAGCATTTGAGATTATATCAAGCTGTAATAGATGCTAAGAAACTTTTGTGTGAGCTCTCCAATCCAGAAATTTCTGTAAGTGAAAAGTTGTGAAGATTTTGAAGATTGGAACTTCATTCGGTAGCACTAAACTAGTTGCTGAGTATTTCACATTGTAGCCATACTGCATTACATTTAATCTGAAACTTCGGATATTGAGGCAGGTCATGTTTGGTCAGGGAATACCTCTGAAACACTTGCACTGAAAGGAATAATAACAGAGCAGCAAACTGTGTGTGTGCGTTGTCCATCCTAAGGAAAAGTTGAGATGACAATGCAGCTTGGGGAAAGGACAATAAACTGCTGAACGTGAGGTGGTCCGGATGAGAGGTGCTAGTTCTTGCCACCTTTCAGCTATTGAAAACAACGTGGCTCTTAATAAAACTGGGAATGTTATGTGTGTACTTGGTGGATTGCAACCAGTCTGTATTTAATGCTTTAGTTAACATTTGCTTAGTGATGTTGCACCTACCTAGCAGACTGTGCCTCAGAAATGCACAAAGCTGAGTTAACAAGACCATCCTTCTAACTCTTTTTAAACAGAAATATGTTGGTGAAGTTTTTAACATCATAAGTCAGCAATCTACAGCTCGCCCAGGATGTATCATTGAACTGGATGCTATCACAGAGCTTGTAAGACCTTCTTCAGTACTCATTTTACACCATAGTTAGCTTGTTTAAAAAGTGTTAATAATAAGACTATACCTACAGCTCTCCATCAGGTAAAGATGAGGTGTTTAGAGACTGATTCTGACATATACTTGCTTTTGGTTTCATAGTACCTGTAAATGAAAAAAAAGTATTAGTAATGAAAGTGCATTTTCTTGAGAAATCTTCCATTGATGTGTATAACTTAACTATCAAGTTAAAAGCTCCCATGTTGGAGGGCAACCTTAAACAGTACACTTTATGATGTTCACTTGTGTGTGTGTTTTTGCTTTCTTAGCATGGCAGAAAAACGCAGTTATTCCATGTTTTTCAAGAAGACTTCATTTTAAATAACCAGGAGAAGGAAATACCTGATTTATCAGACTCTGGTAAAGAATTCTTTTTCGCAGACTGTCAAAAAGTATTATGTTTTTGATTCCACAGAGGAAAAAGGCCTTGTTACATAGCTGTTAGCATTTTAAGGTCAAATACCTTACGTTAAGATCTTTATATACCAAAGAAGAAAATCTAGTCTAATGAAACTTATGGCTGTTTTGCTTCCTTTAAGAGTGGTGCACAACTAAATATTGGATAAAGTAGCTTAAATTGTGAGATACCCGTCATGTACTGTATTAAACATTCCGTTGCTGATACTTTTCTTTTGCGAGTGGGAGAGAGTTTTAAATGTAAAGCCTGTACCCATAGGGTATGACATAGACAAGGCTTACTTGCATCCTTTCATGATGGGTGTTCATCCTTTACATCACCTGAATACTCTTCCTCAGGCCTTGTGTTGTATAATAAAAGACAGGCCAGACAAATTCCCGTAAACACAACTATAAAATACAATACTATGAGTAGTGTGTGAATTTGTATGTCTTAGGGCAGATCTGAATTGCTTTGGAGTAAATGATCAGTTTTCCTTGGTAGAGTGGGTCAGTGGTTGTTTTGTTCTGTTCCAGTGAAACAATGTGTGGAAAAAAGGGTCAGAGTAAAGTTTGTGATACCAAGTCGTCTGGAATAGGAAAGGGAATGCTGAATTAAAGGAAGGAAAGTTGTGGAGCAGTGTCAAAATGTTGTATAATAACTTGGTACACAAAATCTAGTTTTGTTAAGTGGGAGACACCTAGGAAAATAGTACCTGAACTGTATATGCATAGTGATCAATTCTGAATTAATTGTTTCTAGTTGAGAGAGAGATTTGGAGTAATGGAGGTAATACATGAAAATTTAAACCCAGCTCTCAGTAGCGGTCAAAAAATGCAAATGGGATGTTGAAAATTAGCAACAAAATAGAGATCAAAAAGAAGTATTACTCTACAGCATCAATTTGTTGTGTGTTTGCATCTTGAGTATGATATACAGAAAGGACTTCAAAAGAAATACGGAAGCTCTTTGATCTTAGAAAAGGGCAGCTGTGTGCATCTGTATGTGTTCTGAAGGTCTGTATGGATTGCTGCCATGTGAGAAATTGGGCTAAATGGACCCTTTGAAAAAATTAGAAGTGTATCATTTGCATACATTCTAATTTGAAAGTATTTGCTAGTACTTCAAAGCTCTTCAGTTTTAAAACCCCTCACTATTTCTTCTTTAATAAAGCATATAGCTATTTAGCTCATGTTGTTTTTAAAAAAAAGAACAAATTCACTTGCGTTTTTCCGTAGTAGCGGAAGCAACTCGGTGTCAAACCCACAGGGCAAATGTAGCTTATTCTTGATCATGTTTTATGTAGATACACACCTGGAGAAGGATCAGAGGAAGCATGGAAAAAAGGTCGCTAAACTAACTATTCCTTCCTGGCCCTAATGGGTTTGCTTTGGCGCTAAGGAAGCACAATGTCCGTGTACACCCTCCAGAAATGAGCTCCTACTGTCTTTTCTTGGGGTGAAACTGTAGCAAATAATTTCTTAGGGAGAAGCGTTGTACCTCTTGTGTGTTCCAGACTATGTAGTCAGTCTGGCTGGGCTGCGATGGATGAGCCTGTCCATTAGACCAGGCTGTGACTTTGCCAACTGTTGACATGACTTTTCTTCTTTAGATGTAACTTGTGTACTTTTTATTCATTGAAGGCCAATGCTCCGTCTAGCTCACTGTCTTGACTGTTGAAGCTGCCAATAACAGACAGCTGAGAGTCTGTAAGAGACAAGCATGTAAAAGACAGAGTTTCGAGCTGAGAGTACGTTCTGGTACCCAGCAAATTCAGGCAAATATTTTGTCCTCTCTAAAAGAAAACATCGACAGTTCTTCATGTGGGGGCCTGTAATTGTAGTGGCTATTGCTTGCAATAAAATACTGAGAAAACTAATCAGCAGAGTTGCATGTAGTTGGACCACTGCGTTTCAGTATTAGTTCACAATAGCTTAATACGATTCTTTGCTAGGCAGCAAAATTTAGTTCTGCGTTCAGGTGACTAACCTCTAAGATCTTCCTGTTCTAAATTTCATCAGGAAACCAGCAGAACGGATTCTCTGAAAAATTCTACTTAATAGTAATTGAGTATACTCAAAACCGTTCATTACTACATATGTGGCATTTGCATTTGAAGTCAATTCCTGTCTCAGTAGGTAAGCCCTTTTCCTTCTATCTTTCTGTTTTAAAAAAGGAGTCACTATCTCATGAATACTTAATGCTCTTCAGCGTATTTTAAGTTGTATTTCATCTTTTTGAAAAGAATCTGCAATTCTTCTATTACAAGCTTTCATCACAATGCATTCTTTCTTAATTACTTCTTGAAGTTCAGAATGCTGAAGCTTTTGAGTTCAGCCTGAGCCTAAAGTTTGATATTTTTTATACATTCTAAGGGCAAATACATTTTTCTGGTTTTAATACAGCCTAACAGTTCAGGTGTTTTGCTTCTCAGAAGTTTTTGTTCTGCAGTTTTTGAGTTTACACATAAAGTTTAAACTGGACCGTAGTCTCAATCTCCTAAGTACCAGAGATACAATTACAATTATGAACAATTTTGAAGTTCTGAAGTCTGCTGGTTCTCTTTCAGACTACTAAACTACCACAAAAACTATAAAACTTTTTAAGTAAGCTAAGATATACTTCAGTAGTTTTCTGCTAACATTTAAACATTTTAAGAATACATAAATCTGGCGTTCACTAAATACCAGAGGAATCTGTTATAATGCATGTTTCCATCATTTAAATGAAATTGGTATTTGTCTTACTGTTGCTTTCAAAGGCAGAATGTCTTCATTTTAAATATTAGTTTATAAGTTGGAGAGAAGACTAAAGATCCAAACTTTCTGATCTACTTATATGATGCCTCATTACTGGTAGGGCTTTTCAACCAACCTATTGCAACCTATCATGTTGCAAATCAATCAAATTCATACTTGAACTGTTGAGTTTTATTATTAAAAAAAAAGTAACGAAGAGTTTGTATCGTATAATGCATGAGATCCTACATTTTAAGCGGATATTAACAAAACTTTTCTGAAAAATACCTTTCTCAATTTGTAAGATAAGACCTGGAGGTCTTCATTTAATTTTCCCTAGCTGCAGATATTTTCTGCTTTGTGAAGTGTTAATGTCCATGGATAAACACATGCATACCTCTTTCATCTGCAGTTTTGATGTTTCTGGTTACAGTTTGATTGTTTTAAGTCTGAAGAGTTTATTTAAAGCTATAACTTCTCAGCAGTTCTAGAATATCAGAAATATTTAATCTGAGGTCTGCTAGCATTTGTCTTTGAATCTGAATGTGAAAACGCATTTTATTGAAATAAAAGTAAAATTTTAAGTCATGTTTTATCTGTCTTTTTGGAATTTTAAGGTGAGTGAAATTACTTCTTAGGTTAAAAGAAATAATTTACTTTTTTAAATTAACAATGCAAACTTTTTTAGATGAAAAGATAGATTCAAATACACCTGAAGCAACAACACAGACAGAAGAATTGTATTCTTCACCCGATCCAGAGAAGATCCAATCACCTTTCACTCAAAAGTATCAGGCCTGTAGAGCAAACCTTCAGAGCACCAGCTGGCTTACTCTGTCTTCCAAAATGGTGTATAGTCAAGAGTTGAATTTGCCAGAAGGAGTAGAGATAATAAGTGTGAAGCCATCAGCAGGTTTGTAATCTTTTTTTACAGGATTACATAAGGCATCTTTGCCTTTCTGACTCTGGTCTTAAAATAGAAACAAAGTAAGTTTGGTATTTGTTGTTAAAATACCTGTAGATGGATCCAAAAGGATTGTTAAAACTTGCTCCCCTGACTTTATAGTCTATCCTGGAACTAAAATAAAAAGCTTTATTTTAGTATAAGGTATTATATTTAAGGAACTCTAGATCATTGCAATAAAAGGAATTATAGAAATGCAGATTTGGTTTTGCAGTCATTCATGAAATTTTATGTAAGATCTATACTTAAATTTTAAGGCTTGCATCAGTACTCATTCCAAAAATATTTTATAAAGATTTTTAGATTTCTGAATGGGAAATGATTGTTTGATGGGAGAGATGATAAATATTAATATTCAGGTTTAAACAGTATAATTCGACTCTTCTCTAGAGCATGAAATGGAAGCAAAGGGTAAAATGGTTTCATAGTATTTTTGTCCTGTCTCCTTTGTGAGGCCCTGCAGACAGCCCTTGTTGTGAGGAAGAGCTAGTATTTTTCAAATTCAGAAAAATAAAATAATAACTGAATAAAAACGTCTTTACTTTTTCAGTTGCTTTTTAGTATTTTTCCCAGTAAAAGTGTATTTTATTTAATTTTAGGACATCTGAGTTCTTCTTCCATATATCCTGTTTGTCGTGCACCGTATCTGCTGGCTACTTCATGTTCTGATGGAAAAGTTCGATTCTGGAGATGCAGAGTTACGACTGAATCGTCAGCTTCTTCCATGCCAGAGTATAGTGCACATAGTGATGTTACATATGTGTGGGAAGAATGGCCATTATTGATTGAGGATGGACTTCTTAGTAGTAGTGCTATTAATGTTCCAGGAAGGCCAACTGAAGTTAGCTGTGCACACACAAACAGATTAGCAGTAGCGTACAAGCAGGTAACATCTAAAAATAGTAATCTTTCTCATGATTTTGTGATGCATGTTAGTATTTTTGAATGCGAATCTACAGGAGGTTCTTCTTGGATTCTAGAACAGACTCTTCATTTAGACGAGATAGGCACCATGTTAGGCTCTGGTGTTAGTATTGATAGTAACTTAGTGGCATATAACCGACAAGACTCTTCTCTGTCTCATGGTGGGAATACTATGCCCAGCACTAAGCACTTGGTACACTTAGATTGGATGTCTAGGGAAGATGGTTCACATATTCTAACAGTGGGAATTGGATCAAGACTTTATATGTTTGGTCAACTGTCTGGGAAAATGCAAGAACAAAATGGTAAGGAGATTGTAACCATCTCCCATAGTGGCAGTTCAAAGGCTACAGCCATTTCTAGGTTTGTCCTGCTGCGTTGTGTTGACTTGGTTTCATCTGTAGAAGGATCACCTCCTTTTCCAGTCTCCTTGTCTTGGGTGCGTGATGGCATTCTTGTAGTTGGAATGGATTGTGAAATGCATGTTTATTCCCAGTGGCAATCTCCTTCCAAGCAGGAACTAGTTAGTACAGATTCCTACAGTGGAAGTGCACCATGTATGACTAGCTTAATGAGACAAAGCCAGTCAGCTGCCTCAGGTCTGCATCCACCAAAGCGAACCGTGACCAGATCTATGACCAGCCTTGCACAGAAACTTAGTGGAAAAAGATCTGCCTGTGATCTGTCTATGGAAATGGAAGATTCTGGTCTTTTTGAAGCAGCTCATACGTTGTCTCCCACTTTACCTCAATATCATCCATATCAACTGTTGGAACTCATGGATCTTGGTAAAGTACGTAGAGCAAAAGCCATTCTGTCCCATCTGGTAAAGTGCATTGCTGGAGAAGTTGTTGCTATAAATGAATCTGAACCTAATCATGATAAGAGGCTCAGATCTTTGTCTATCAGTGCTAGTGGAAGTACTGCAAGGGATCCCAAAACATTCAGCAAAACTGAGACTACGGACTATATTGAAATAGACTCTGTTCCACCATTGCCTTTGTATGCTCTGCTTGCTGCAGATGACGATTCATCTTATTCCTGTTCAGAGAAGTCTAATAATCAAAATAGTCAAAATAAAAAAGATACGCCCAATGACAATTATGAAGATCTCTTTCAAAATACTGTTATAAGTACAGATGAACTTGTAACATTTGATGCAGATGAAGACAGTTCGAAACCAAAAGTCATCGATCTTTCTCAGTATAGCCCAACTTACTTTGGACCGGAGCATGCTCAAGTTCTTTCTCGTCACTTGCTTCATTCAAGCTTGCCAGGTCTGACTAGGATGGAGCAGATGTCATTGATGGCCTTGGCAGATACAATTGCTACTACCAGTACTGACATTGGAGAAAGCAGAGACAGAAATCAGGGTAAGCTGACTCTTCCAAGTGAAGCGTACTACTGTGCTTCACAACTTTTTTGGGGGAGTTTTTTCCTATTTTGGAATATGTTGGTGGCTTATGAAAGCATGTCATAGTTTTGCTTCGTAGTGCAGCCTTTATTATTTACTGTGCCGTCACAGTATTTGCTGTTAAAGTTTGAGACTTCAGACTTTTGTAAAATCAAATTTTGTATTGCTAGCTGTTAGTGCTAGTGTTAGTCCATGGGTGCACATACTGTAATTGTTTCTAATTCAGTTTTGAAGGGCCAGCTTTCTTAATGGTCAATGTTTGTTGCATTATGTAGAGAAAATTGGGAAATAAGTTTTCATAGTAACACTTTCTATTGGTTGCATTAAAACCAAATAACTTCAAAACCTTTTATATTTGAAATTTTCCTCTTTCTCTTTCCTCGAAGGGAAAAAGTATAAATAAAACTATTATGTTTACAAATTTAAGGCGTTCGTAGTCACAGAATTGTAAAGTATTTCTTCTGTCAAGACACTCAATAGCTACTTTTAGTAGTTTCTCTAAAGTGTATATAAAAATATTTAATTCCAGGTGGAGAAACTCTTGACGAGTGTGGCTTAAAGTTTTTATTGGCTGTTCGGCTTCACACATTTCTAACAACTTCACTTCCTCCTGTATATCGAGCTCAACTGCTTCACCAAGGTACCTGATGCGTTTTATTAGATGAGGAGAATCTTAGTGACGTAGCTATACATATGATTGCTCTGCTGTTGACATGCCTCTGCAGAATCAATGAGTTATTTGTTATTGTTTTTTATTAATATTGTTAGAGATGAATATATGCTAGAGCAGAAAATCTCTGGTTTGGTTTAGATAAAGGTCTTGGAACTGAAGGGATTTTTTTCCTAGAATGTTTTTAGGTGGTTTTTTTTTTATTTCCCTAAAAGAACTGGCTTTTCTGAACCAGTAGCATGTTGTTCCAATAACCTTCTGCAAGAATAATTTAGTAGAAAATAGAGTACGTATTTAGTTAGTTTTTTAATGCATATTTGAAAAAAAAAATTCTTACAGTCTACTCAGACTTGTAATGTTTTTTTCATACGCTTACTGTAATTATCCAGTGAACTATTTCAAATAGTTTTCTTTGCTATAGTTTTAAGTAGTTCCAACCTGATACTACAAACAGCTGAATGAGAGAGATTTGATTAGGCCTAATCAAATCTAAAGAATTGGCTGTGATTGCTTCTTTGCTCTTTTGTTAGTCATCATGACAGCTGATGGCATTTCCAGTCACATGGCTTGTCACCCCTCAGCTATATTTCAGATTGAAATTTGCTAGGACTGCTACAACAGACTACTGCTGAGTTAACTCGCTGATGGAATATGTTTCAGTTGAGATACTTTTGCTTCTGCTGAACTCAGAAACTGCTGAGAGTAAGAAGTGCCTCCGTGGCATCTGCAGAGGTGCAGTTGAATGTGCCGCTGTGTAAAGATGTATCTCCTGGCCCTCACTAGAATTGCAATTATCCGTAGCTGGCTATGCTTCTGCTTAGTAATTGCGGTGGTCTTCATGTGGTTTTTTTTTTCTTCCAGTTTTCTTTTCTGTCTGTCCTTAAACCTGTTTTCTGCTGTCATTATCTGAAACTTTGCATTTTCTAATCCAAGTCAAACTAGTGAACCTACCTTTCAAAACTTTGAAAAGTTTAATCAGTATGTTGCGCTTTGTATCATGGTTAACCTTAATGTCACCCACTATAAGTATATTTTGATCTTCAGTCAGTAACTCTGTTCTTTGCAAACTTACATAAAGAGTTTACAGGTAAAAAAATGTTTTTGTCTGTATGAGCTTTCTTTAATATTTGGTATCCAGTGCTTACAAATATTCTTAAACTTCTGTTGCCTCATCAGCAATGCACTTAGAAATAAAAAATAAACAATTCTACCTTCTTCACTTCTCCCTTCTTCCCCCTCCTCCCCCGATTTCAGATTCTGGATTATTTTATTAATGAATCCCCTTTCTTTTTTTTTCCTTTTTTTTTTTTTTTTCCTTTTTCCCAATGGCTTATTATCTAGGCTTATCTACGAGTCATTTTGCCTGGGCCTTTCATTCAGTAGCGGAAGAAGAACTACTGAGCATGCTCCCAGCAGTGCAAAAAGGAGATCCAACATGGCCAGAACTCAGAGCTATGGGTATAGGATGGTGGGTTCGAAACATCCATAGCCTGCGGAAGTGCATAGAAAAGGTAAACACAGCATTCTGAAACAAAATTATAAAACTTTTTTCAAACAGCTGTTATCTGGTGTTTACCTTCTATTTACGTGGGTTTAATTTTAGATATGTTCAGCATTTCTGAATGTTTCATGCTGTGGGGTTTTTTGTACATATAGTTTATTGTATGAAAATGAACTTTTGTATTTAACTATTTTTAATACTTTAGGTTTCAAATTCCAGTGTGAAGTACATTTGTGGCTTTTAGATATTCCGTTTTCAAGTGGCGGTGTACAGTGCTTATCGTGGATGCTCAAGATGCAGATTAAGCATATAGTTGTTTTTACGACAAAATTAGGTAACAAGCTACAGAAAAAGGTAGCTCCTTAGAAACCTATCACAAGTGGGGTCACAAGATATTTTATGTCAGTCTTGCAAATTAATACATTTCCATAATACCAAAATCTTCTATTGTTTTGTTTTGGCTTGGTGCGGTTTTGTTGTTTGTTTTTTTAAAATATGTATTTTAATCATCACAGATGTGGTGATAAGCCTAACCTTATTATCACTTGTTTTAAGCTCTTGGAAAAGCCAAGTGTGTTGAGCTAGAAAATGACATGCACAAGATACTTTGACTACAAAGCACAAAGTGGTAAAATGCGTGTCTCTACTTTTCCTTTTCAATCTTCAGCATTTGATCATCATTTTACGAAACTTACCTGCCTTGCATTTAAAAAATTCCAAGTATTCTGGGCCTGCATTTAAGGTTACCTTACATGGGTCTTGGACTATTCTTGCTGCCACTTACCCATTTTTCCTTTCCAACCTCCAAAAGTAATCTCTTGTAAACAACTCTTCTCCTGTTGCAACTGGTCCCAGCCTGTTCTTCAAGATGCCATCTGTCCTTTGATTAGCAGAGCAACTAATAAATTAATTTTGTTACAGTTTCAGGAACTGGTTTCAGATGTAGGCATTCCCATTTGATCTGCCAAAAGGCTTCTAGAACCAGAAAAGCATTTGCTAAATGATATCAAACGAAGACAAGGAGTTGAAGTTGTGGTATCTTCACTCATTCTTAAGTCAGACCTGTAGTGAGAGGAGGGATCCTGTATTACAGAGAACTTCCGAGTACTGTGGGGCATGGAGTACCAGAAGCAACAGGAATCCCATTTAAGAGTAATTTAAATTTTGGTTGGTTTTTTTTCTGTTGAACTGTCTTCACAGGTGGCTAAAGCAGCCTTTCAGCGAAACAATGATCCACTTGACGCAGCCATTTTTTACCTCGCAATGAAAAAGAAGGCTGTGATCTGGGGATTATACAGGTAGGAGACATGCAAGCTCTTACATGGAGTTTCATACTCTGGTGTAGTTTTTGGGAAAAATGTTGAATGTGATGGTAGTTAAAAAGAAGCATTAACATTACCATTTGAAAGCTGAGATTCAATATCTTAGTCGCTTAGTTGCTGTTTCTGAAGGTAGATGCTTCAAGTTTTAGTCTCAAATCTATTGTAATTTCAATCGGTGCTTAATTCTTTTGAGGACTACCTGTGTCGTGTGTGGAATGATGTGGCTGTCTTTTAGAAAAGTGTTTGTTGGTCTAAATTTTATCTTAAGGTCAGAGGACTGAATTAAGTCTGGTTTTCAAACTGGTGTTTCATTATATAATGCTCAACATTGCAAACTTTTTAAAAAGTAATTTGCATTGTCGATCTGAAGAGCACACTTGAGAGAAATGAGCTTTTCTGTATTTGTATCAGGTTAACTCAAAATATAATTAATATTTGTGTTTACTAAACTTTTTGTTAATTTTAAATATGAAGCTTTCCATGTGCCCGGTATGATGGCAGCCTCTGTATTTCCTAATGAAAAGGTCTGTGTAAAATTCTGAAGAAATGAAGAGCCATAATGCATCTAGTAAAATACATAATATTTTTATCAATTATGTTCAACATGCAGGTCCCAAAAAGATACTAAAATGACACAGTTTTTTGGAAACAACTTTACTGAGGACAGATGGCGTAAAGCGGCATTAAAGAATGCTTTTTCTTTGCTTGGCAAACAGCGTTTTGAACATTCTGCAGCATTTTTCTTGTTGGCAGGACACTTAAAAGATGCAGTGGAGGTAATAAAATAAAGAACTATTTTTTTATGTTTAAGACTGTTACATTGTCCCAAACTAAAAAATATATTGCACGTGACTTGCATTTTGCAGTAGTACAACCCCTGAAGATTCTGGTTTGTTTGTGCTCTTCCCCGCCCCCGCTCCCACTCCCCCATGAATGACAAATAAAAATCTTTGATCTTTAAATATTGATTCTGTTTTAGCTCTCATATTAGTGATACTAAAAAGTCCCATGGCGAATTTCTCCATGATAATAATAAGAAGCGCCTACCGTTAACCTGCTTTCAGATTGTCGGACCAGTTGTGTATGAAGACAACATAGCTTTCATTAGAAAGTTCCAGATCTGAAAATGAATGCTAAAAAGCAGTGATGTGGGTTGGCTCCTAGAATCCCTTCATTAAAAAAATTATTTCCTGGGTCTGTTTGAATTCAAAAGTGGGAGGAAATTCATCTCTCTGATAATGAAAGATTTGTTCTGTAAAGCTTCAGAACCAAAACATCCCGCTTCAGGAGGTGGCACGTGCACACTGATGATGATGATTTATTGAAGCCAATTGATTTCAAAGATCTATTGTCATGTTAGACTTAAACAGAAGAAATTGGAAATCAGATCTTGTATATAATAGTTGACCACAGCTATTCTGCATAGTTCCTGCTAATTTTTTAAGGAATTGATAGACCTATGTATCTCAATCTGAACAGACTCATGTCACTTCCTGTCTTGTGATTAACCAGAGGAGAAATTATAACGTCTGGTCTTGTGAATATATATTTTTTTTTTTCAATTAGGTCTGCCTTGAAAAACTGAATGACATTCAATTGGCTCTTGTAATATCAAGACTTTATGAGTCAGAGTTTGAAGTATCTAGTACTTACAAATCTGTACTACAGAAGAGAATTTTGGGAAGTGCATTTCATAGAAAAGAGAGCTTAGGAAACATACACTGTGACCCTTTTCTGCGAAGTATGGCTTACTGGATTTTGGAAGATTATAGCAAGGCTCTTGACACTTTGATTAAACATTCTGTTGAAGATGAAGGAGGTAAGAATATGAGTATTTTTCCTGTTAGCTTGGTTTTAACTATTTGTTCATTTAAGTAGTAGTTTCTTACAGTGCAGACTGAACAAGACCAGGTACTGCGCAGTTGCTCACCATTGCTAGAAAATAGCTTGCTGTAGCAATGTATGTGGTTTTATAGTAAATGTAGTGACTGTGTTATTATTATCCTATATCCCATTAATGGATACTTAATTTATTCTTTAAGTACATGAATATCAAGATAATGAGAATGACTCTGCAGTGATGCAGCTGTTTTTCCAGCACCACTTAAAGATGAACAGGCAAATTAACTTTATTAGTTACTTCGACTCCATCACAAGCTAGGAAGAAATTTCTGATTGCAATGTTACGTAGCAGGGTCTGGAAGACATGGTGTTTTGTAGCTTTAGTCCTTGGGAAGAATGATTGACCACAATGATAAACTGCCATAGAAAAGATTTTGATATTTAGCATGATACAAGGAGGCCCACGTGGTGCCTGAAATAGCATGTAAGTCTCTTAAAGTGATTCTTTTCCCTGTTCACTTGCTAGCTTTATAGGTATTCTAAGAATCAGTTGTATTATTTCCAAAAGTTAATGTTCTCAAGGAAGTTAATATTTGAAGTCCCTAGTAGTTAACATGCTAGCTTGTTTCAGTCCTGGCTACTAAGAGACTTGATGGGGATAAATGAGGACTCGAATCCCTAGAGTTGTGTAATTCATTTTAAAGACTGATTTCAGTAGAAGTTACATGCCTCAGGATAATTTTGAGCAAATAAGGGATACCGTGTTCACGTTTTTCCATCTTGGTCATATCTTTCTGTGTAAAATCATTTTTAAATGTTACTAAGTGCAAGGTCCTGCACATGGGTCAGGGCATTCCCAAGCACAAGTACAGGCGGGGCAAAGAATGGATTGAGAGCAGCCTTGAGGAAAAGGACCGGGGAGTGCTGGTGGATGAGAAGCTCAACATGAGCTGGCAATGTGCGCTGGCAGCCCAGAAAGCCAACTGTATCCTGGGCTGTGTCCAAAGAAGCGTGGCCAGAAGGTCGAGGGAGGTGATTCTGCCCCTCTACTCTGCTCTCGTGAGACCCCACCTGGAATACTGTGTTCAGCTCTGGAGTCCCCAGCACAAGAAGGACATGGAGCTGCTGGAGCAGGTCCAGAGGAGGGCCACGACGATGATCAGAGGGCTGGAACACCTCTGCTATGAAGACAGGCTGAGAGAGTTGTGGCTGTTCAGCCTGGAGAAGAGAAGTCTCCAGGGAGAGCTTCTAGCTCTCCAGTACCTAAAGGGGGGCATACAGGAAAGATGAGGAGGGACTTTTTGCAAGGTTATGTAGTGATCAGCCTGGAGAAGAGAAGTCTCCAGGGAGAGCTTCTAGCTCTCCAGTACCTAAAGGGGGGCATACAGGAAAGATGAGGAGGGACTTTTTGCAAGGTTATGTAGTGACAGGTTATGTAGGACCCGGGTAACTACAGGCCGGTCAGCCTCACCTCTGTGCCTGGCAAGGTCATGGAGCAGATTCTCCTGGGAACCATGCTAAGGCACATGGAGACCAAGGAGGTGGTGGGTGACAGCCAACATGGCTTCACCAAAGGCAGATCGTGCCTGACCAACTTGA